CTTAACAACTTCTTACTTAGCAACATAAATTTTTGGCTCGGTTGTGGTCATAAGATTTCTGTAGAGAAATACTTGGGTAAGACTAATCTGAACCATCTTTAAAATAAGTTCTAAAAATCACGAAAGCAAAATATTTCTTAGCATGGCAATTACTGAGAAATCTGGGAACTGAAGCCCATAAATCTGGAGGATATTCAGATTATGAATGTCTGGTTTATATACAGCACAACACAATGCTATCAGATACTAATTTGACAGAGAGGGTATAGTCCAATTTAAATATAACTACGCTTGTAAATTCAATAATCAATCATCTTGTTTTTACATTTAAAAATGAACGGGGAATTATACGATAAGATTCCAGAAAATTTTGATATTGTAAACACAATGAATTCAATTTATTCTATCTTTATTTGCTCCCCCCTGCTGGTGATCTTCAAGTAAATGTGGAAAATTTTATCCAGCATGTTGCCGGATAAATGCTTTTTATTTGCTTCTGATTAAAAAGAAAAAAAAGATTCTCATTAATAAACATTTTGTTCAACAAATTACTAAGTAGTACCCTACAAAACAAAACAACCTGCTTTCTTTAGTCAGGAAAATAAATAAGCTGAGTTGTAATATATGCATTATAGTCGCCATTCATATTGAAATGTAAATAGCAATATCTACTAATATCTTAAATCTTTCAGGAAATTGTTATATTTGCTTCAACTTCAAAGGCACTGATTGATTTTATCATCAGAGTTAAAAAATGAAAGGAAAAATATTTTTAATAATGCACAACTCTTCTTATACTTGTTAATACAAACAACCATAATATTTGCCAAACAAAGAAGTATTTTATATCTTTTACCTGGAAATGACAAATGAATTGGGATTTGCAGATGACAAACTAGAATGCTCATTTTTCAGATTTTTTGATAGCAAACAGCCCTTGCTCCCAATTCCTTTCCTTTAAAAATAATCAGCAATTCTTCTAGGAATGCAGATGATGGGTAAAGCTGAAAGCACAACTCAAAACATATCTTAAGCTGCTCTAGAACTTGCAGGGTTTCTCTGACAAGGAAAAGTTGACAGAAACAGATTCTCCCAAAAGCAGAGTATACGAAGATTACATATTTAACAGATCAAAAGAAAGATGGTAAGGATTTTATATTGTTTAGTCTGGTAGGTAGGATTTAAGAGTTTTTCAAATACTGGGAGTTCAGAAGTCCAATCTAAAAATGTAAATTCTCCCAGGGTATTCCCCTTCATTTGATCATTCTAATTAAGAACTAGGAGCTCAGAATAAAAGATTTGTAATCTTGTTCTTTTTCTCTTCCCCCAAGACATTTGCCAACCAATCAATTTCAATTATTGATTTCTATGATTTCAAAGAGCACGTACTATATGCTTTCAAGCAAATTTCTGATGCTTATAAAGACTAGCGTTTTAACCTTTACTACGAAGTTTAAGTCCTACTTACAGAACTGCAGGACACACAGAGCCCTGGCAATATGCAACTGAGGATAAAACAAGAATATTACAAAAGTATAAACCTGGAAACAAGAATACACATTAAAACATATTACTAAAAATATTCTTGTAAATTCTGTTATGAGCATATTATGTATATTTACATGTCTAACTCTGTGCTCTTTAAAATTCAGGGTGGGATCACAGAGAGTAAATAATGATAGACTTCATCTCAAGAACAGATAGCTTCCTTCTTCAACAGGCAGTAAATTCTGTGTTGGTAACAGCTCCTTTGCACGCAAACACATTTATTATGAGCCAAGCAGTATTGCCTCTTGCAAAGGATTGAATACAAATGCCTGCTTTATTGGAGCACAATTCACAGTATTAAGAATGGGATAATTCATAAAGACAAGCAGGAAAGGTAGCATTTCACACTTTGCCTCTAAGCTATAAATAGTCATGGTATTTTCAAGAAAGTTCTTCTTCAGAGCTTTAAGTGTTCTACATACTTCACCTTTCACTGCAGACATGGAATAGCATCCAACTTGTTAAATAATAATATTTAACACATACCAAGTTTTCTTGGTTTCTGGCAGCTACTTTCTGATCATCTTCTCCCCCATTTTTCATGTATTTGACTTCTTCCACAGGTTTGATCCTATACTCATCTGGAAATTAAGAGAAGAAAAAAGTCACATGTAAGAAGTAGTAATAGAAAGTATAGGGCTTACAGCAAATGAAAATATATACATGGCTTTCAGAGAACAAGCTATGTTAGTTTTCATGATGTCATTTAGCAGCTTAACTTTCTGTATAGTACTGTCCTTAAACATTTTTTAAAAATTGAAGTATATTAATATGTTAAGAGAATTTTAATCAATGACCCCCAGTTCAAAATATAATTGAATGGTCAAATGCATACTTTTAATATCAATTTGAGCATATGTGCCTAGCATATGCAATTGAAAAGCACATCAGAGAGTTGAGCCAATGTACACCTTCCTTACACATATCTTTTATCATATGTTGGGGTACGGGGAGAAGTAATGAGTTAAAGAAAAAGAAACAGAACAGGGGTTCATGAATAGGAAACTTTACTTTTAAATAGTCTGAAGCACAGAGTAAAAAGCAAGCAGCAAATTCGCAAGTTTATTAATAATGATACATAATCAAAAGAGATAAAAACAAGAAGAAAATGCAAACACCTAAAAAAAGGCCCTCACCAACCAAAGAGGCTGGGAGAGAAATAGTAAATGCAATTTATTTTAAGCAAAGATAGTAATATCAGTAGTCAGAGATAGCAATAATAGGCTGTTTTTCTCACAGAACTAAATCCTAGTGTTATTAATGAAGCTGCCCAGGAGGAGATGCATAACTCATAAAAGGAAATACATATCCTTTTCACACATTTACAAAACTTTCATGATACCCTCTATGGTACTACTGAGGGAACAATGAAAGAAGCTGAAGATGGCTGTGACTGTCTAGGGCAGTGGTTCTCAACCTTTTTAATGCCGCGACCCCAACCGGTCGTAAGTCGAGGACTAAACCGGTCGTAAGTCGAGGACTAAACCGGCCGTAAGTCGAGGACTAAACCGGTTGTAAGTCGAGGACTAAACCGGTCATAAGTCGAGGACTAAACCGGTCGTAAGTCAAGGACTACCCAACTGGTCGTAAGCCACGCATGCATGGTTCCGCCCCCTGCGCTGGCCGAGGCGTAGCTGGCAAGCAGCAGAGACGGAACAGGTCGACCACCAGCTGGCCCAGCCCAAGGGAAGTAAGGCATCCGCCGGAAAAGGGAGAAAAAAATGGTGGACAAAAAAAATGGCGGACAAAAAAAATGGTGGACAGCCTTGCTTGGCGACCCCCGTGAAATGGTCGATCGACCCCAAATGGGGTCCCGACCCACAGGTTGAGAACCACTGGTCTAGGGCTCCTGACCTTGCCGCCATGTAAATGATTCAGGATAGGTAGTCCACCAGTCGCTTAGTGTTTGCTTGAAGTTATGATGGATCCCCAAAAAGGTACTTATGACCCAGATTCAAAGTTCTAGCAACTGCCTCTCAAGGTCATGTGATTGCATTTTGGACACTCAGGAACAGCCCCCAATTACAACCATTTGCAATGTTCCCCAGTTATATGACCATCATTTATGATATCTTTTTGATGGAAACTGGTGTTTATTTCCAATTTCTGTCAAAAAAAATGCCCCTGAGAATGGGTTCGCTTTACGCCTGCAACTTTCAGTTTATGACTGCTGTAAAAATTGTAAAAATGTGTTAGTTACGCGATGACCTTCTTAATGATCAGCACAACTTACAATCGTAATTCCAGGCTCAATTATAGTCATAAGTCAAGGACTACATCTTCATCTATATCTTATTACATATTCAATTTCTTCGTTGCTCACAGTCCCTTATTTGGCTTTTTAATTTTTTTCTAATATCCCTACTTTTATCGATATCTTCCTCTCTTTTTATTTTTTTCTATCAAAAATCCTTATCACTGCTAAAGGAAGCTTGCTTGATAACAGCAATAATAGAATAATTCTCAAGTGTTCATATCCTGTCATTGGGTTTTCACAAATATCGGGTTGGGGACTGTGGAAGTATTATATTTATTTTATTTACTTGATTATTATCCTTAATTCAATATCCTTTTCTCCAGGAAATGGAGATGGCTTACTTGGGGAATCTTCCTTCCTTCAATTTCCATAGCAACAATCTGTGAGATAGTTCTGGCTGAAAGTCACTGCCCCCCCCCCCCAAAAAGCCACCAAATGAGTTTCAACAGAGGATATACAGCTGAACCTGGATCTCCCCTGTTGTTGTACAACATCTTAACCATTATGCCACACAAGCTGATAGTACTGAATTAGAAAGACTCTTCAACACAGCTTGTGTTCCATACAGACTTTCCCAACCTGGGCCTTTCAGAAGTTTTAGAGATAACACATTAAAGTATGACTATATGTACATATAATACTACTGTTGCCATTATGGGAGCAAGTACAAATTTAAAGTATATCAGATCCACTCTAAGACAAAATATAGCCTTAGTCCATCTATTACATTCACATTACATAATCAAGAAATACCAAACTAAAATATACAAGAGTCAAATTGCTCAATCTTTTAGTAGGCTGCCTTTTATGGGTTCTTAAATAGTTACTAAAGACTGCTAATTTTTATTTACTCATAACAGACTGTTGGATATCTGCAGAACAGTCTTCTTCAATCTAGTGCCCTCCAAATTTGGTGATATATCTAATCCTAGAATTCATGGTCAGCATACCAAAAAACATTAGTGTTGTCTTCCTTCGTCTCAGAATATTTTTTTTTTAAATGGCATCTTATAAGTTCAAGAGATTTCTGTTACTTTAGAAAGATTTGTTTCTGCCCCACTAAGAAAAGCACAATTAAAATGTATGTTGTCAAAATGAAGAATCACCGCCAGAGGTAATTTGAAAAGTTTTAGTTCCTTGCTGAGAAAACAGAAGTGTCTCCTAGGTAACTTGACTGTCAATGTTAAAGAAAAATCTCTGATTAATTATGACCTACAGCAGTATAATATGAATCACAGCAAGTACAAATATCTGTCTTGGAATTGACCCAATGCACTTTGAATTCAAGAACTGGATTTCCACGAGGCTGATAAGTAATTCAAATGTCAACATTCACAATTGGTAACTGTTGCAATAATTCAATTTCACAAATATTTCCCCCTGATGTTTGTACTAATCAAAATGCAATTCCTATAGGAATGTACAAGAAGAGACTACATTTATTTCTCCCCAGCATTTGGAAGCAATTTTGACAACACAAAGTAGGAACTGTTACCAGAATGAGAGCTGGGATACTAGGCAAACTATGTTAAGCAAAGCTTTCATACAACCTGTCACTGAAACCACAGGGCTACTATCTAATATTCTGCAAAGAACAACTTTGCAGAGGGAGTGTCCTATATATTACATGAACCTTAGAATAGATTCTAAGGAAGGAAGGAAGGCGTCATTTCCCCCAGTATCACAGGAATCTAGATACACATGCATATTCACTCAGAGATTGGAATTCTCCATGTTTTAATCACAATCCTGTAAATATTTTGTTGTACATTTTACTGATTTTATTTTACGATATTTTAAAAAAGTTTTGAAAGTTGGTTATCTCTAGGGATTTAGGAACATACTTTATCTTTATAATAGTTCTACAAATCCAAAGTTGCCATAACTTTATCTAGTGGTTTTAAATAATTTCTAACTTTTTGAAAATATTTGGCAAACTGGCCAGTAGGAGTAGAGAAAACAACCTAATGGCATTTTTAATTGGTGTTTTATACTTTAAAGCAGCATTTTTCAAACTTAGCAACTTTAATATACTGGCAGAGCGATTCTGGGAGTTGAAATACATGCATCTTAAAATTGCTAAGTTTGAGAAATACTGTTTAAAATCATAACATCCACTGTGGCCTTTTACTGATTATTACTATGATTTAGCTTTTTTTAAAAAAATAAAAAAAATAAAAATTCAATTTTTGTCATTGATCCAACTTTGATCAATAACTTGATTTTCTGTTTTTTTCATCTCTCTCTCTCCAATTATACAAAAATAAATTCCCATATATTCCCATATTTTATTACTCAGGACTTTAAAACTAAGAAGGAAAGATTTGTTTTATAATTAGGGACCATATATGAAAACACTACTTAGCTACAATACAGTGAATGACTGAATAATACCACAAATATGATCCTCAATATGATTATCCAATCATAAAAAAAGAGGAGACTGGTGAATTTTATGATCAAGTTCAATTTGAACTTGACAGAAGATGCCAGAAAAATGTGGTCCTTGTGATAGGTGACTAGGATGCCAAAGTTGGAAACATTAAAGAAGAAAACATAGTTGGACTGTATGATTTTGGAAATAAAAATGAAGCAGCACAACGACTTATCAATTTCCCTCACTCCAATGATTTATTACGAATACCATCTTTAAACAAACAAAACAATGCCTGTACCCATGTATATCACCAGATGGAGTACCCAGAACTCAGACTGATTATACTACTGGTGAAAGGAAGTAAGGAGCTCAGTTATAGCATCAACTGAGCACACCCGATATGATCTTGACCCACCATTTTCAGTGAGAACACTGGGAGTCATCCTGAACTCTTGAACCTTATTGACAAAGAACCCAGAGGAACTCTGGAATGAACTTAAAGAAGTTGTTAAAGATCAATGTGAAAAGAGTCTGCCAAAGAAAAAGAAACAAAAGAAAGCAAGCCGGATGTTAAAACAAACCATGAACATTTCTAAGAACAGAAGCCAGAGCCAAAAATTCAGGAAAGAACTTACTACAAAGTATTTCAGAGAGCTGATAGAAGAAGCAGTATTACAATGCCATCGATAAAGACATTGAAATAGACATGGAAAAACAGGAAGGGTCTTCCAAAGGATCTCTGAATGCAGAAGTAGATTACAACCTGGAATTGATTTGCTAGAGGATGCCAAAGGACGGACAGTAACTGATTTAAGGAAGATCAAAGAAAGATGGAAGAGTATACTAAAATACTTATGTAGCAGGTATAATAATGTTCATAAGATCTTAAAAAATATTCCCTACTTTTAAAAAACCTCTTGTATTGGATGATGAAGTAAGATCAGCAC